GCATAAAACGATCCGAAGTTGAAACGAAAATTAACGTGCCTGTGAAGTAATAGCATAAAACCAATAATCTGATTAGATTATGTTTGAGCTTGTGCAGCGCATATGTTAAGATTTGATTTCAATCTGGTGTTGCATTGTTTATATGAAAATTATGTATAAGACTTCCATGCGTTTGAAAATTCTGATCAAAAGATACATGTGTGGTGCATACATATGCGCAAATTGTATATATTCGGTCAATTTGATTATGAATTATTTCCTTGACAACATACTTTTGAATATTATAAATGTGAGTTTTTGGCAATAATTTTATAAAAAATTGACCGCGCTGTTAATTCCACACATGAATATACGAACAAATACACTGTATTTGCAATATACTGTATCTATTACTATATCTTCTTTATAAACCATCTTTTGCTCGATACCGGCGTACATGTAAAAATACTCACTTGCGTGATGAACTTGATGAACTTGGGTCACGTGACGGGGTCAATGAGTTCACATTGTGATCTGGGTAGTTACAGCTACTAGCAAAGAGGAAGCATTGATTGGGCCATAGTGTGATGAAAAATGTTGTATAGAACGGTTATCGACAGATACAGATTACTAGATATCCGTAGAGAAGGGGTCATCCGGTATGAGATACCTTGATAGAATGTGTTTTCTGTCAACACCTTACTTGATCTGTAAATTGAAAGAAAGAATTACCATGATAGGTAGTAAGATTCTTTAGCGGATGATGTGTGTGTGTCGAGTGTTTCACCCAGCGACCGTATCAAATAACAGATGACTCTTTGTGCATGTAAAATTTTACCCTTTATTGATTTAATACATGTACGTCGGCTGAATTTTTAAAGGTCGTATAATTTCTGTCTTAATTGCCTAACAGTAAAATGTTTTCGGTTTACATTCAAATTTTATATTTTAGTTAAAGCCACTGAAAATCACTTTTAAGTTACCTTTGGAACATATTTCATTCGCTTTGACGAATTTGACATTCCATATTTGTGATACGAAAGAGTCCATTTGCATCCCATAATTGTTCTACCTGATATTTATTTCGTTAGATAGATAGCAGTAGCATTTTCCAATTTACTGAAAATTTATTTACATTAAGGGTAGATATGTGATTAATGAGTATATTAATTATCAATTAGATATTCAGTCAGTTAGTTTATTTAATTGTCTATTCATTCACCAATTATTTTGTACATATTTATATCTTTATTCTGTCAATTATGCATTTATTTATTTATCAACGTGTGAATATATCTTGAGAGTTGATTATGAACTTATTTACTATCAATGTACTCATTTATATTTTGGTATATCAGTTAATTAGTTTACTATTTTTATGTTTGTATGAATTATCTTTCTGTCAGAGTCTTTCAGTTTTTTGTTCCTATCCATGTGCCCATATATTATACCATTCTGTTTGCTGTCAAAATGGAAGTTCTGGATAATGCCAATAATAAATTCTTGCACTGTATGGTGTATCGTAATTCAATTCATTTATTTTATTTTTTATCTCACGTTTTTATCACATCACGTTTGTGCTTTTGGATTGAACCATACCAACTTGGCACTTTGACGTCGCATTTCTTATCTGCCCATCGACTTAAGGAGTCTGTTCTATTTCAAAACGACTCATTGCTTGCACTTGTCGTGTAGATTCTAATGTGTACCTTCAATAATTACTCTTATTGTCTCAGAGACAGCGTGTGTTTGTTTCAAGGTGCATCATTCATTTTGCTCCAGGTTGGCATTTTTGATACACAAGGTGTGCTTGAAGCCCACCATAAATTAGTGAAAAAGCAAGAACAAAGACAGTTTTAGCATAGCCTGATTTCGCTCTGAGATAAGTTGGAAACGGGGCGCTGCACTTTTTGCTGTGCCAGGTACTGAAAGCTTCTTTGTTTTCAACAGAGGGTTATATTATAGTATAATTACATATGTGAAAAACTTCCCTTATTTGCACGATTTTAAACTGGACGTTATTTTATTCTAATAATATGTTACAAATTAATTAATTACCACTGACTGAAAATAAATGTATCTTTGGATGCACAATCCCTGTTGATAGCCGTTCATAGTGTTCATGATGGCGTTGTATATGAACTGTATGATATTTAGAACTTTGTATGTACATATTCCAATGAATCTTTCATGATCTCCATACAGTCATCTACGCTCAATTAAAAATATTTTTAAAAAATTGTCAAGTCTGCGATGGTGAAAAACATACCCACGATCAGTTTTGAACATGGCAAACAGGAAAAAATAGGGCGTTTATAATTCATGCTCAAGCATCACTCAGATGTACCTCATTTTCCTAACACATTCTAGGTTAAAGGTCAAAAATAAAATGAGTATGCGGAAAAATGAAAATAAATATCATTTAGACATGCAAAAAATCTATATTTAAACTTGTGACCGTGATAAAGCAGGGATAGGTGGTAAACCATTGGCTGTTTACTTATTGTATGTTATAGTTTTTATTCATAGCTTTTACACGGAGCTTAGCTGGTGAAAATGTATACAGAAAAATAATCATTAAAATGCATCCTAGGCTTTCAGTTCCACATATGTACACATTATCCAACATCCTAGTCTGTTGAAATAACCCTTGATAATGAGAGTAATTATTTATGAGGGTAACTGGGCGGAAGATGTAGCGCAGATTTTTTTTTTCAAAATAGAACTAAAGAAAGTCAAGGATATAAAGTTTTATATTAAACCAAAGATATAACCACTGCCACGTTCAAGTCTATTTTGAATGCTTATTTGTCGGTGTTGTTCAGATACACATTGCATTCATTAAAAAGTGAAAACATGTCAATCATATCATTAAGATAAGAAGTTTAAAAATATTGAACCGAAGCACATAAACAACTCACAACAATGTATCATATTATAGGGGAGTGGGGTCCAGCAGTGGACATTATTAATAACTATAGTGACTTCTATGTAAACTACAAACAAATGGTCGAAATTTTACATTTTTCGTACAAAAACAATTAGATATGTAAATAACTATTAGATAAGTTACATCAAAACTACATACATACATTCATGCATATATACATTATACATTAAAATATACAGACACGTACAAGCTTGTTCACATCATATTCATACAAACAAACATGCAAACGTACAAAATACTGAAACTGCTTAGTACAAATTTTTAAAAGTAATATTGAATAAAGACAATTTTAGGTAACACAAACTTTTAAAGGTTTACAAAATGTCATTCTTTGCTACCCATACTTGCAATATTAAATGAATAAAGTTACAAATGATAGATGAATAGCGTATGTATATTTTCCAGCCAATATTTCGTCGGCTGACTGGCTTGTAAATACAAGTTAATTTTTGTTATAACTGTTAACAAGTAAAATACATAGCTAGTGAAAATGCTCAACAATAACCGTATATGCAGTTTTTTATATAGGTACCATTTTTACATATGCATCTTAAACAAATCAAAACGTGATACATTAAAATTTAATGGTGTGAATGGTATTTGCAAGTTTTTTGGGGGGAGGGGGTAAAAAAGAATAACTTAACTACATATATTTCTATCAATTGTTAATGGAGTTCATGAAATACTTTTTTATTTCTCTTTTTGTTAGTTCATTTCACAGTGTCAGTGTCGTTAATTATCTGCAATGAATTGTTTCAAATAATTCAATATTACAGACCCTAAGCGTTCCGTATATTTAATTTTTCAATGTACAATACTTTAGAAAAAACATATAGATCGAATATACTATAGTACATATCCAGCAGTCTGATAATCAGGTCTGTGCGTTGTTATTATTGAAATTTACGCTGGAATACCATTTTTGCACAACTCATATCTTAAAAACATATAAAAGGGACGTCCAGGCAAATTGTTTGTGTTAAATCAGAGGATTAAAGATAATAAAACGAAAAAAATTCTTTAACTAAACTACTCGTCGCCTTAATTTCTGAGACCAGGGCGACACACTTTGCTATATTAGTGAAATAATAGACGCATTTCCTGCAAAAAGGACACGGTTCAGTCCACGAAGATTTCACAAATTTTAGCCAGAATATTTTATAAATGCGAGTGTTTGCAGAACATACATCTATGTAATCATTATATGAAGAAAACTTGATGGAATTTGTTTATTGCTCTTTTCATAGGTTACATTTCAATGATGAGAAAAATAATTTAAATAGTTTTAAATAATTTAAAATTTACACAGATCACCCAGTAAGTCCTATAGTTTCATAAAACGACAATAAAAAAGATATAGGCCCTAAGCAGCACTGCATTAGAGTAAAAGAGTTTTTTTTCTTTATATACCTAGAATTCAAATTCAGTTGTGCATTGAAAACTTTTTATCGTATACATATTTTATTATATATTTTATTTAAGGTAAGGTAATTTGGGGCAAAATGCAATTTTCCTCAGAAAAAATTCAACTAACGAGTCATAGCTCGATATTTCCCTGCGATTGGATTCGATTTTTTATACCATTTCAAATTTCAAATTTCATTTTTAATGAGACCGTGCTTTCAGTACATTTCAAAAGAAAATTTAGACATAAGATACTTCTATTTGAGTTGTTTTATTGTTTAAGGTATGAATTGGTAAAATAATTACTTTTGCAGGATATCTACGTGGAACTTATGACTTTGGGACATTTTCAAACTCATATAATATATCTGAAAGGTTTTTTTATTCTTCAAGGTTTCTGGAATGTACTGTTTGATAACACACGGGTTTATTACACATCTTTCTGTATACACTTTCCAGATAAATAATATCTTTTTATGAATTTTCAACGTATTTGATAGAAACTGTGACATATTAGATAATGGATCCGTTTTATACATATCTCATACATTTAAATAAAAATATATATTTATAAATGATTGTTATTGTCAAGCTATTTGAAATGTAGATGAAAATCATTTCCGTCAGTATAACAGTTGAAGTGGCGAAGAATAAACAAAAAATTAATTATAATCTAAGAAGAGACATCAAGTATTTCCACATAAATTTTATTGACAACGAAAGGAAACCAACAGGGATAATATTTGAAAATGAGCCAGTTACAGTATCGAGGTAAATGTTTTCAACACAAGCCTTTCCTCAGCATATGCTGAAACAAATACCCAATAACAGTTAAAAAGTTAAAATGTTCCAAGAATATATATAAAGTCCACATATTGCAACAGGCTTGCAATATTTCAGGTCTGGTAAAGGAAGTCAATGTACTTCAGATAAATACGTAACGATTAATCTCCAAGATTATGAAATTAAAACAAAATATCAGTTTCGAACTCATGTGTTCTTTGGGGAATTATAAAAAAAAAACTTTAAGACTTAACAACATTCGAATAGAGAGTATCTGAAGTAGAGAAAAAATGCATATAAACACCCTGTGTCAGCAAGACTTATTATCTTCACTTTTGAAGTAACAACAACTAAGATGGTTTCAGACCGTTTCGTCAGTAGTGTAAAACATACCCAACAAATATTCTAACATTGAAACAATAACATTCAAAATATTTTTATGAAATTCATTATTATCCATGTGCATACAATAATACTTCTGTAGAGCACTGAAAACGTATCTGTGCATTTTAGCATCGAATGCTAATGATTGTGCATTTGCCTTTGATTCTATTTAACAATTGATGGTATAGTCGCAACACACAGGGAAATATCCTGCCTGAAGGTTTTATTGCACTAACAAAAGTCCTTTAGATTCCAATAAAGTACAATGTCGGTATTTCTGCTTTGATGTTTGCGACAATGATAGACACAATACTTATACTTTAACGGGCGTAAGTTAGGTACACGGTCACACAAATTACAACATATAGCGATAAACATTGGCACTTATTGCTATACATGTTCAGTTGAAATTATATAAAGTGAATGGTACCGGTAACAATTATTTTGAGCCAATAGGAATTTTCATTTGATCTAAAGTATCCCTCTGTGCATGAACTCGTGACACATAACAATAGTTCAAGTATATATCTTATATAACATTTTATCTTTTACCACTAGAAGGACACCCCTTTGGAAGCAATGATGTGGCATGCTTAAAAAACTCACTGTGCAAAAAAACATCCATCTAAAAGTATTTTAAACGAATACATCATTGCATAAAAAATTAACACTTTGACAAATTCACTTGATAGCCATTTCATAACATTTTGATTCCTCTCAATCGTAATGATTTGCTATTTTAAAAAGTTACAGTACACTAACAGCAGTTACAATAAATAGGTGTAGCACCACTAGATTTTGATTATTTCTTACGGAAAAATACTTATGTTGAGGTAACAGGAAAGGTACGTTGCGCATACCATACTGGCATTCTTCGAATGTTTCTTCGCACTCGCTAGGATCAAAATACGCATTTAACAGTACAAATGGCCAAGGAAACCGTTCCTCCGAGCAAAAACTGTTGACATATATTTTTTAAAACAGAAGAGAAGATCATCGCCAGTGATTTAATTCGAACGAATAAAAAATAAAACCTGGGACCGATTCACGATAGAATTTGATTCAAAAATTGATACTAATTCTTAAACCGAAAATCACAGTTTTTCTTGACCCCAAATATACCAAGTTACTGTGTAACGGCTAATGTTTAAGCCAATATGTTATTTAAGCAGGTTTTGAACTAAAGACCAAATTTGTCGTCTAAAGTGAGATTAATTTTGGGCTAAAGTTATTTTGTGGCACCGACTTGAATGGAAATCCACTAAAATGACCTGTTTAACAAAAATTTAGAAGTGTTCTAAACGTTAGACATGTGTTCACTGGACTTCAGAATTAAACTTAACTATAACTTTTAGATAAAGGCCAGTATTTGATTTTATAATGCTTGTGAAACTAGACTCTGGCCTTTGGAAGATCCCAAACATCTGAAATAACCAAGTCATGTGCGTTCATTGATATTTTGTCATTGTTTCCAAACTATGAGATCTCAGGTAAATTGTTCAAAGATAAACCGAGGCGTGAAAGGAACTTAGTGTTAAGCATATAGGTAATGAAACCAACCAAATTATACCCGACATAAAAGCTACGTGTATCTGTGCACGTCCTAACCGACACCGAACAATGAATCAGCTGACTGTAATGTTAGTCGCAAATCTGAACCGTCGCTAAAAGTCGAACAGGTTTTTGAAAAGGGCCTCGCCCCACTAAATGATGCTGCTCGTAATGTTCACGTAATTCTAGCTGATCTCTGAAAATTTTGGAACACAGGTCGCACCTAAAAGCCGTTATTACCAATCCCTGTGAATGGTGACCATAGCTACCTGCATCGTAGAGCGAGCTAGGGTAGCCGTCCCGAGAAGCATGAAAAAGACTCGGGTTAGCAGTGTCATTGTATCGAAACTTATGTAAATGCGCACTAGTTCTTCCAATTAGGTCGCCAAAATGGCGGTTTTGGTAATCCATAGTTAAGCCCCCGTATAGGTTTCTCTCCCGAGCCATGTGTAAACGCTGTTCGCTATTTAAATCGTTATCTAGGAGCGAGAACGATGGTTCCATCGTTTTCCTCGTTGTATGGTCTTTATGGTTGAAATGCTGATCGATGTAATGATGAAACGTTGTTGTAAAACTTTTATCGTCCTTCAGTAAATTGTTTATCTGAAATCCAGATTCCTTCTCCTTCACAGGGCTCGACTTAACTTTCCGTCGGTCAGGAGATGACGGTTTTTCAATATCAACCGTCTTGTTTTCCGTATTTTTCGAAACTGTAATTATGTCATCATTTCTCTGAGGAGCTACACTGCTTGGGATAGGTCCTAATTGTTCTTTTTCTTTGAAAACAACGGGGGCTTTCTCATGCGCTCCAGCCCTTTCTGCTTGCAGTAAAGCAGGGGAGGGCTCACTGTTTTTCTCTTCCTCCTCCTCCCTTGCGCCATCGGCATGTTGAATCGTTGACGGCATAATGTCACACTCCGTGTCGGAGACTTTATCTTTAAGCACGGCCATGTAGCGATACTTTTTGTGCCTATAAAGAAGTGAGTTGGGGCCAGCCCGCGTTTCACAAATCTCTGGAGAGGAGGGATTGGAGTCGGTGTCGTAGTCCCTGTTTTCCCTTTGCTCGTTGTCATTTGTCTCAAAGGGCCGAAAGAGCGACGCTGCCTCTCTCCCTGTCGGTTTTAGGGTCGTCCTGTGCATGGGGCCCGCGCTCCTTATCTCCTCTCTGATATCGTCGTCCTCATCCATTGAGTCATCGTTCAGAATATCAATGTTGTCGGAATGTTTCGATTCCGCATCCTCACCTCCGCCCCCTTGGTTCGCCTGGGTGTGGCGTTTTTTATGTCTCTCTAAGTTGCTGCGGTGGCTAGTTGCGTACCCGCAGAACGAACAAACGAAGTCTTTTTTCCCGCTGTGCACAGTGATGTGTCTCTTCAGGAGCGCCTTGCGACAAAAGTTGCGTCCGCACAGGCGACACTCGTAGCCGTCTCTGTGACACCTAACAACGTGATCCCTCAAAGACGCCTTATTTGGGAAAATTTGGTCACAGCATTCTAGAAGTTTTGTGCAGATATCGTGCATAGTCGCTACGTGTCGTTTCAAGTTGTTTTTTCGGTCCGTGACATACTTACAATGCGGACACTGAAACAGTTTTTTATCCACCATGAACGTTTTGAGACGATCGCATCGGAATGTGGGCGAATTGAAGCGGAGGTCTCCCCCGTGTGGAGCGTCCTCGAAGTGAAGCCAAGGAGGGCGAGAAGGGGGTGCAGCCCCCCAGACGTACGGCTGGCGGTAAGGGTCGCCGTGGTTGAAGCCACCGGTGAGAATCATCCTAGGCGGCAGCGGTGGGGGGACGGAGCCGTTTGTGCACAAGTGAGGGGGTGGCTGAAACATCGCTGTGTCCGCTCCGCCCTGCAATTCGTGGCTTCCCTCCGCCTTCTTCCTCTTGGGGCCTTAGTCCGTCGCCCCTCTTCTCTGGTGACCGTGTGTGTGTGTCGTCTCTGCAAAATATAAACGAACTGAATGAACCTAGTCATTTTACACCGAATTCAATCAGTGCAAGCCCTGTAGTTGCGTGCACGCCGATACAACCAACCCGACCTCTATATAGTATTGCGTGCAACCCATCATCAGCCCAATGGCAGTAAAGGAAAAGTACAAAAGACGCTCCGAAGATGATAGAAATGTTAGAAAAAAAAACACGTTTGATATGAAACATAGATATATACCCGGGTATCCATTACATAAGATATTATTAAAAAGGATCGCGGGTTGAAAATCTTCCAATTTTACCAAAAAAGAGAGGGACAAAAACATGCCTGCTCTTGCGACACACGTACCGGAGCAACCCCGTAACCCCTTAAACGAACCTTAAACCTTGTCTGCCTGAAGGGGGGCTTGAACTAAAAGAGCAAGGGCCATCAAAGCTTATCAAGTTTTATGCTATAATTTATGAGGATATGTCACACCACAAGGCCGCTTCGTGCACCGAATGCCCCCGCCCCCTTGGTCACTACAACAGGTAGTCATTAGAAGAGAATTATGCATAGAGGAAATTACATCTCAACTTGTGAAGACATAATTAAGTGTCTTAAAGTCGTTGATTTTCTCACGATGTGTGTTGCCAACGATTTGAAATATAACCATTCAGTTAAGGGTCGTTGTTGAATAATATTCATTATAAGGAACTATTTAAACGTTATGAAAAAATCCTGTATTTAATTCATTTATCATTAGTGATATCAATGACATTGATAAGAAAATCATTGTGGAATCGTGTGACTTTTTTTTTTTGAAAATACATGAAAGTAAAATAACAAGTTATGTTGTCATGAGTTTTAATTACTTTCCAAAAATATAAAATACTATTTTATATTAGCAAAAATAAAAAAGAGAAAAAGAAAGAAAAACGACCCCAAGTAAATAACGCTGCGTTAGGATAAAAAAAATTCTATTGTAAAAGACATCCTTTAAAAAGTCCTTAATATTGTTGAAGACAACACCATCTCGATGTTTTCCTTGTCACTGAAGTTTATATCTTTTTATATTGTTTTTGTCAGAATAAGTAATGGGGAGACTTCACGCGATGGAGGCACCATAACAACAAAGGCATAGGGTCCTCACCTTCGTACTTTGTGACCTTATTATGTAATTAATTACTAGGTCTCCTCTTTTGAATTGTCTTTTCAGATTTAAAAGAGATTTGTCTCTGTTGCTCTCATCTTTTCATCAGAAATGGCTAAAATATTGAAATGATATGGATAACAGATATTATTGCATTTGAATGAAATTTTATTGTTTAGAAAGAGCAAGTCTGAAGGCAATCAATGGACATATTTTGGGTGATAAAAATATTGTAGAAACATTTTTTTTGATGCGACAAAATCTTAACTTACGCAGTAATGTTACTTGGAAAAATATTAACATATTTTTCTCCATTTCCGTAAGCATTGGTAATTACGTAATTTAAATTATGTAATTAAATTAAAAGTAACCGGATATATATAAATAAAAAATTGGAATCGCGATGCCACTCCATCACAAGAAAAATTAATGGAATAGTAAATCTCTAATGGTGTTAGTTTTAAAACAAAGCTGCATCGGATTATTTTTAACGCGCATTCGTATTTCAAGTCAAAATCAGTGCAAATGCCGCCTTTTACAGTATGAGTAAGAAAGTAGGTGTCACAATCATCATAAAGTATAAAGAAAAAGGTATCATAAATTGGTTTGGAACTTAATTCTTCAAAACGTCCTGACATCAATTAAGTCACTTCTGTTGTCAGGTTTCTCAGTCTTCTGTGTCAAAATATTTTAATTTTCAAATTTGTGAATACCATCTTTTGCAGGTAGGAAATAGCTAGAAAACGGCCTTAATTTAGAACGAGAGAAATTTACTAGGCCAAAGAATCAATTACATTTAATAAAAAATACATGGATATCGAAATCAAACAGTGATTGAATGAATGACGATAAGCAACAAAATAATATCAAATAAATAAAAAAAAAATAAATTGGTAAATGAATAAATAAATAGACAAATAGATAAGGAAAAGTACCAACATATATTTATAAATACAAATCATATCGCTATGTACAAATATTTAGTAATTTTAATGCGCTGTTTTGTTCAGTAAAAAATAATCTAATTTTTACTAGAATGTTTAAAAACGTCGAAGTAATTAAATAAATAAATCCAGAAAAGGGGGATTTCTGAGAACACATTATGTCTTCTATAAAAGACTGATTAATTTTTACTTAATTAAAAAAACTGACTTCATAAAAATATACTCCAAATAATTATGGCTCAGTTTTATTTAGGCTAACTCTCCTTAGAATTGAATTTTATTAAATCCATTTTATTTATTGACATTTTATCCTACATGTCAATTGTGTCAAATCATCTTATTTTCATGTCATATATTTGATAACTAACTATACAGTAGTCTGCAGGGATTATATCACAAGGAGCAATTGTGCACTGAATGTTTAATGTATTGGTATTTAAAGCACATCGTCACAAAGCCACCTTTATACGCAACCGACATGTTGATGATTCACAGCACAAATATTTTCCTTTTCAATTCCAACGAGGTGCAAACATTAAAATGGAGTCAGTGTGTTTTTACGCTTGCGCGCACGTATTTCTCTCTCTCTCTCTCTCGCTGTCTTTGTGTATGTGTGTGTGTGTGTGCGCGCGCGTGTCGCTGTGCGCGTGCTCTCGCGCCTCTTTGTTCGTGTGTTTTTGTGAATCTTTACTTGTACGTCCATGTGTAATGATTAGGCATAACAATCGTGTGTATGGGAGGGGGGGAGGGGCTAAAAGTGCGCAGGAGTGTATCTGGTTTCGCTTTGTTAGCGAGAGAATAGTTTTTCAAGAACTAATACCCAAATGTTCCGTTTTATAGGTTTCATAAGTCAAATAAATTTGTTGCGTTAACGTTAGAAGTATGAAAACGGCGACTACATAATTTCTATCAAATTAATCAAATAAAATCATTTTTCAAAACAATTTCAGAATTGTTGTATGAATTGTGTACATACTACATATAAAATATTAAGAAACGGGTAAAACTCAAAAAGGTGACATTGTGTACTCTTTATACCGCTGGATATGTTTATCATATCAAAGAAAAGGGGAATATCAAAGCCCAAAGCTTGACTGCGTTAGTTTTAAAACCTCGCAATAAAAAATTATTCTAGTAAATATATTTATCAAAATACATGTACTACGACATATCAACTATTTTTGATCTGTTGAGTAACTTTAGTTTGATTTTTGGAGAGAGTAATAAAAAATACCAAGCACCGCCGAGCATAAGTGGACTCAAATATTTTGCAAGTTGTAACACATTATTATTTATTCAATACCGCTCCTCTATTCTGAGTATACTATGACAATTTCTCCTCTTCCATTGCTTCAAACTACAAGAAATGTTATTTTTTTGTTGGTTTACTCATTCTTAAGCAAAAGTTGATTCCGCCTTGCCGTTGAGACCTGGGATTATTACTGAATATAACGCAGATTCAATCAAGGCTAAACTAAGTGGCGTACCCGAGCGCTATGACAAAAAACTAAGATAACCGATGATACATGAGCCCACGAAGTTTGGAAGACATTCGGAGTTATTCGTATCGTTTGATGATCGCAAGCGTGCCTAACGATCGTTTTGTATGGTACTGATGCTCTTTTTTTCTCGTCTTTACTTCGGGTCCGCCAGCTGTGACAAGCGCCATGCCTTCATAATGTCCTCCCACACGTAAACCGTGAATTTAGACGTCTTATCTTAGCCCTACTAATTGAGCGTTATGTAAAGGAAACTGACAAAAATTGTACTAAAATGACATGGACAATTAAGTGCACTCCAGCACGCATGCTCGGAGATACGGCTCGATGCAAATGGACGCAGTTGGCCCCTTTACTGCTTAGTTTCATCTCTTGATGTTAACAGCGTCAGATGCCCATGGGATGGGGTCACTCGGTACGTTTGAAGAGTACTTTAAGAGTTAGCAAATGACTGGCATTATTAGGATACAGCAATTCTACTGCTGTTACTGCTGAAAAACATCTTTGACAAATGCCGAGTCTTACTGTCCCCAAACTGGTTTAACGGTATTATTACAAATTTAGTGACAACGCAATTAAAAAAAAACTATCAAAAACACCGTAGCTAATTATTTATACACTTTCTTTCACTTGCTATAGATTATATCAAAGTTTGCGAGCATTTATTTTCAGACTTTATTACTAGTTTTAAATCTAAGAGAATATTGCCGCTGTTTAATTGAATTTTTTACATAGAAGAACACGTTTAGGAAACAGCCATTTCGCATAGTCAGAATGTAGCGGATAAGCTAAACGTGCAGAAGAAAAAGAAAACCTTAAAAGTGAAATGAAACTAAACGGCATAACCGGATAAACCGGCAAGTATCTGATTTAAGTACACAAGAGTGGGCAATTCTACGTAAAGCATGAATAATATTTTGGACATTAATCTCTACTTCTCAAGGTCAGCTATGATACGCTTTAAAAATGCATCATGAAATAAATAATTCACTGCATGCATTTTACGCACAATACAAAGCTATGGAACCATGACATGCTATAGAAAAGTGGTTGCGTAATATTAGATTATCTGACATAAGACGGCATTGAAAATAAAAATAGTCGTTAACATTAAACTTGGCGTTGAATCATCTAAAGCTGCGATAGTGTTGTCATCCGTAATGGAAAGATGGTGAAGCACACGAAATTTTGCACTTAAGCTCCCCGTCACCCGTGGTGAACTTACCTTCAATTAGTTAAGACGCTGTAATTATCTTTCTTTCCAGCCCCTCCACGCCAGACGCGTAGCGATTACAATCAGGCTCTGGCAGGTAAACGCACTGAAATTGATAGCAAAGGACACGTAAGGTATCGATTAGGGCCCGCGTGATCCACGTCCTATTCATGTACATTTTGGTTGATACAAGTTTATTGCGAAAAGTTGTGCGCGCAATGTCAAGGAGCGGGTATAACGGTTACGTACATTTCATTGGGATGGCACTGAAAGAATGCAGCCATTATACAACATTTAAAGTATAACTTTCTGGCCACCTGCGGTTTTAAGATCTATATTGCTGCATGAAAAAGATCAAAGAGACAAAGAGAGAGAATTCCTAAAATGCGAATTTGCTGGTGTAAATTGGTAGAGAAAACTTGACATTGTGTTTATTCAAAATGTCATTGATCATACAAGGAAACTTTTCTGCAAGAATCAGTTAATTTTCAAGTTGATGGCGAATAGTAACGTGGCAGTGCATTTCCACTAAACACCTTTTTCTTTGAAATAAATATTAGCGATAATATGCAGAAAAAATAAAATTATATATTCCATCATAGGGAGTTAAAAACTCTCTATGATGGAATATATAAAAACATGTTGAATAAGATAAACATGAAAATATACATATAATTAAAAGGGACCTGAGCTATCCCCCCCCCCCGCACGCAAAAGAATCTTTTTCAACCAGGCTTGGGTAAGATATGAATTTCCTCAAAATCATTTTCAGTTTATGGTCATATCATGTTCCCTACAAGTCCCACAAGTAAAAGAAGCAATTGTGAAATCCAACACCTATTAAAAACTTTGTCGCTGAAACTGGTTAAAAATATATAATGTATTATTAGATATATTATGTCTCTGTAAAAATAAGTCATCACAGTATTTACAGTTTTGCAGTTAAAAGTAAATATTTACAAAGCACACAGTTCTTAAAACAACAATAAATGTAATTTAAGGTCAACGGTATCTTCATATTTTTCTTAATTATATTAGTTGTACTAAGTTTTATAAATATTATTTTCTAGTTGTGTCTCATTTGAGATAGATGTCATTCAATTCATTGACAACCTTTAAACTTGGATATTTCCTTATCATTAGTACACGTTTTTACTGATTATTATTATTATTATTATTAGAGTTGGTTTTAGCACATTTTACCAATGGCTCTAATCCTATTAATATCTTCATTGTAAGTTACAAGAGTGTCATACAACAATGAAACTGTGTAAGTTACACAGTTTTAGAGATAAAATCATGGCTTATATAGGACCTGTTCCTAACTAAATAAAAAGACGAGTACTTATGAAATATACATGTTATCTCTCCATTTGACAAACAGGCAAAAACTGGTACCAGTAAAGGCGTTGATGGGCCTATGTGTAATGGTTTTCGTATCATCTATGCACCTTTATCTAATACTGGTCAACAAATCAGTTAAGTTTCACGGCATTTCTGTTTTTACCAAACAATTCTACTTTGAAACCATACAACGTGTTGCTGGTTCCAACATTATACTAACTTGTTTCGTTTCTTTTTTTCATATTTTTCTTTCTCACATTTCTTGTTTAACGTTAGACTAATTTTCCCAAATGTAATGCATGTAATGCACTTTAAAAACAACACTGTAAGTTACTTTTATGTCTTTGAATGGGAGCAACGTCCTTTTTAATCTACCAGCAGTTTTAAGGCTGTGCATAAAATTGACAGTCTTATGCATGAACTAATTAATGTTTTAGGCATACGAAATGATAAAAGCTAGACAAAAACGGCAAAAACTACAACACTGAGAAGAAGCCTATATTGGAAACATATTAGAAATATTTCATTGCAAACAGCATACAAGTAGATGTCCGAAGTCCTATGGTAATATATAAACTATCAACGCATATACCCAAATTATAAATACCTTTATTGTCAGTGTTGATTAAAATGAGCATCCTTTCCCAGTGCGTTAATGCGACTGTACAAATAAATATATAACCAATCGAGCACAATGAGTATTTTTTTCAGGAACTCGTACAATGTAAAAAGCTTCAACACAAAAACTCAGTCATGTAAGAAACAGGACATCTAACAAACAAAATGAAATACCCTTCACGATTCTGTTTCAAACTGAAAACCTGATGTATGAACAAAATACAGTCTCATGATCTGCGGCCAGAAATATGTGACACGGTGATACTCGGTGTGCATATAATATCCATTTGTAAATTATAGTGAATTAAAATTACGGACTTCTGCACATGTCATGCGTCACAATTGTTAACTCTCGACTGAAAATTTAAACAAAAACTACAACCTACTTATGTTTTCTGAGCCACTGCCTCGAAGGAAAGTCGAAACATCCCCAAATCATCGCCCGTCCAGCCCCGCTGAAAATGGGTGTCTGAGACGTGACTGCAGCCTTCCAACTCGTCAACACTTTGAGTCAACCGCATCTAGACGCAGAATAGTCATTTATGTCTATCCACTAACACGAGTTGTGTAGTTAAACCGCAGTGCCGCGTATTTTTATCCAGTGCCCCAAACATGTATAACCACTTGGTTCGTACTTGGTTCGCACTGTGCTCTCGCTACTCTCGACTAGCACATCAAAATGCCCACATCGAGGGCGCACCGAATGACACCAGGGGGCGTCTCAAGGTACCTGTAGAAAATGATGTTTCTACCCGCTTACCAGTCTCACTCTCACTCTCTGTTTATCCATACGAATGCAAGCCCGGGTTCTGGTCTGGTTATTCTACACCGAGATTATAGCACACATTGCGTTTAAATAGCATTGAGAACTGGCACCTTGAAAATCTCAAGGCTCCCTGCCCCCTTTCATCCCCCTCCTCCCCCCCCCCCAGGGATGAGTTACAAAACAACTGTCCTGCTTTGGATACCACAGAAAATTGGTCATCCCGGCCTGGCACCATGTTGGTCGTTATCACGACACACGACAATCAAAATCTACTTATATCTCAATCAGTTGGAAAATGTACTTAACACAACGCAGGTGGTGGGTCGCAAGATGGTTGAATAAACCGCGTGTGACAAACAGCTATTTGCGACAAAGTCAAGTTGAATCATCTTCTAATATATATATATATATATATATATATATATATATATATATATATATATATATATATATATATATAGGAACCCTACAAGTATTTTGCTCGAAACGTTACACATTTTAAAGTTCTGTGTAACTTGAACAAAAACATTCATCTATTTACTTCCACACGAAGGTTTTTTATTTTACGTTGTTGTACAAAATCATTATCATCATTATTTACTAGAGAATTGTAGAGTCCATAGAAAGACATTAAAGTAACAACAATAATAATAATAATAATAATAATAATAATAATAATAATTCCGATAATAAGCTTAATAATGACCCACGTTAAATAGCTGTTTTAACCGAAGCCGTAAATAAAACTGTCAGTTTTACACAATGCTACCGCAATGCATACAAACGTTCAGGGAAGATATCGCTTCTGCTGTATAGAATGTAAAAAAAAAAAAAAAAAAAAAAAAAACTGATGAATTGGTAAACTGACTTCCATCCGTCTTGCTCTTAATTCAAATATGCGCCGCATACACAACCATAAATCCGTTAGATGCCATTCTCAACTTGCCGCAGGGATTTTACCTCAAATAAATCGACAATTCTTGCACGCCATCTTGTACTGAGCGACAGAGCCATTCAGTGCAATTACCTTCACGGCATAAATTGCGATTTGTTTGTCTTCCCATGAATTTCAGTGGCTAGCTTTCACAGTTTTACATATACTTATACCCTGGTTTGTCCGAATATTGCATGCTTTTGAAAAAAGATACTATGAAAATGAGTTTCAAACTTTGGACTAAAATGTTCGTGAACTCAAGGAAATACGAAATAAAAGCCAACCTACATTTTGAATTAAACGAGACATGTAGACATTTCATTTCAATCTATACATGTTTTTAACAAAAGTCATAAAAGGTCACAACTCAAGCATATCATACCAGTAAATTTACATCACGATGACTGCTCATTCAAAATAATAATGAGTGTAAACAATCAATAATTAAAAACTTAACAATAATGCATGCAAATATAATTATAGAACCACGAGAAAATGACATGAGATTTGACAAAGAGTCAGTGAAATGTACTGATCGTAAGTCACACCAAGGCAGGACTGAGACATAGGTTTATTACGCGTATCAGACTTTGTTTGGCTATATTAGTTAAAATTGGTTAAACTTGTATACAATAATTTGAATCGCTTTGCCCGTTTATCGCATTGTATGTGGGAATAATAATAATTAATAACCAACTAACTAACCACTGGTAGTGGAAGTACATGGCGTGTTGACGGCTCAATTTTAAAACTGTATTTTAGGGTAAAGTAATTAACTGTGATAAACGAAAAGAGCCACGTCACACACTATGACAAAATGTTAAGGGCGTATTACATTCAATTTGATCTAGTTAGGGAAAGCGCCAGGTTCAAATTACGCCCATTGTTTTTATTTATTTTTTTTATTGAATTTTGAAAACTGTCTACTTTTGTGCTTAATTTGGTTATATTTTTTCATCAGTTGCTGTAAAGCATTACTTTTATAGAAACGGAAGACAGCCATATTTTCTATTAAATGAAAATCGTCTTCACCCATATCGAAGTTAACTTGTGTCAACATACTAGTAACACCAACAATACTCGAAGGCAGCATTTGATAAGGTGATGACAATTTCATTTAAGCAATACTGCAAACTACAAAAAAAAAAAAAAAGAAAAAAAAACTTACGTTACGTTAATCAAGAGCCCGTCATAACTTATAGGTCACGTCCCTTTTATTGTGGAAAACTTACTGAAATATGAAAATCCTCGCCATTGTCTTTTCATAAAATTGTAGAAACCAAAAAGTTTAAAACGTCTCATTCAAAAGATCAACAAGACCAAAGTAGAAGGTTATGGCATATCAGCAAATCAAGCGCCCGTCATAAGTAATAAATGCTGTGAAAGGATGTGGAACAGCAAGCAGCACCCGATTGTGTTTAAAAAAAAACAACCTATGTTAATA